CATGCAACAAGCGCGAGAGTAATAAAACAGGTAGGTTTTGACCTTGGTCCGCCCGTCATACCTTACCCTAGGTCAATGTTATATGTTCATTCAATTGTTGTATTCCCCAAGAAAGTATCCCAGAGTTGTATTGCGTGGTCTAACACTCCGTTGTTGCATTAGGCTGAACTATTCACTAGAAATTGACTTCCCTGAATCCATTGCCTGACTGACCTGCCGTAGGTCAACGACTCTTGCGAGTCACATTTACGTTTTTGAAACCAAGCGATCTGCTATTCAGTTGTCTACATGTATGCCAATTTTGGTGCGGCTACACCTCGCCGTTCGAAAAGCATTCCGGAAAACCTTAGCAGGCGAAATTGACCCCATCCGAGCGCCTGTTGTGAAGGCTTAACAGAGCACGCCACCTTTTTGCACCTGTCACTTATGGTGAGATCAGACGCGTACGATAATTTTCAGACGCGTATCAATAATGCTAATTTTCTCGAAATCCTGAATAGCCCAGAATTTCAATTTGGAGTAGCCGCTCCACGGGAGAAATCCAGTTGGACTCCCTGTTCACCTTTATGAAAGCGACACATTTCATTTGTCTCGCTTGTCCAACGTGACTGCTCTGTAATAGTTGCAACACACTGATTTATCAGAACGTTTGTGGCGAAAATTTGAGACACTGTTCAGGCAGAAAGATATGCGAACATGAAGCTATTATCCCGCGAATGCACCGAAACGTCATACAGTGGGTTTGATTTCTCCCTTTTGGCGTTTGCTACAGCGGCTCTTTTTGGAGTACGCTTTGGCGTTGGGAAACGAAGCATCGCGTAGTCAACAATGACGCACTAGCTCAAACTTCAACCAAGGCGCTCCTCGTTATCTGGCCCTTGCTGCTCGCTGTGCCAATCAAAAACGTAGTGTGTTCTCGCCAATCATTGCATAGCTGTAGACAACTGAATAGCAGATCGTTCGACATAAAAAATTTAGATGTACCTTGTAAGGTCGCTGACCTATGGCAGGTCAAAGTCTTGCCATGGTTTCAGCGAAGGCAATTTCTATTGAGTTGCCCAATATTATACAATAACGGAGTGTTTGACGAAGCCCTACATCTCTGCGATGCTTTTTTAGGCACCACAAATATTGATTGAGCAAATTACGTTGGCCCAAGGTCAGGTATGAAGGTCAGACCAAGGTCACAACCAACCTGATTTATTACTCTAAGGCTTGCGGTATGGGACAGTTTGTGGTGTTCATTTCGAATTTATTGACAGCAGGAACGACATTATAGATCCTCCATTGACTTCTTAGAGGTCATAAAGGGTCATTGACCTAAGATGACCCGGGTCGACATTTTTTTTTAGGAGCATACTGCCTAGCGTAATCTTCGTCGCTTATTCAGATGCAAAACTCAGAGTAGTCTTGTATGATTTTGGTCACCATGACCTTCGAAAGGTCAAACAAACAAGTTCACTGACCTCAAAGGGGCTTTTGACCTTTTGCCTAGAAACAGTTGCCTAGGTTTTGGTGGCACTTCGGAGACCAATCTGGAAGTTGACCTTGTTTGACCCTACTGGATCTGAAGGTTATGACCTAGGAAGCTCAAACTTTGCCCCAAGGGAGCTTACGTACAGGTCAAGACACCCTGTAAGTTTGGTGTCTCTAGCTTTCTTAGTTCCCGAGATCTCAGGGGATCAAATTGCCCCCCCCCCCCACCCCACCCGAGCGAAGGGTATCTAGCCGGCCACCGAGGCGCGTGTCAAACCTAGGATAGGGCCCTGGTCGTCTTCACTTTGTAAGTCTAGAAAAGAAGAACTCTTACTGACTCGCCTACGTATTGGACGTGGTCCCAGAGCACACTCATTCGTCTGAGAGACGCAGGGGACTCTCCCACATGCGGTAGGTGCGGTGAGATCCTCACTGTCAGGCGTCCACTGGTAGAATGTGCACTTCTGGTTGCCAAGATGCAGCATTTCCTTTGGACACGAAGTCACCCTGACATTATGCATAGGTGAATATCTAGAGATCAGCCTACGTCACGTGGTGCTGTTCTTAAGCGCTGTTGGAATCCACGTGATATGCTCACGTCGATAGCACCTTCACTCCCCGTGTAATTAAACGTAACGAGAGCGTCAAATGGCCGAAGGAGTCGAGGCGGTCCGTAATGCCAATCATTGTCATGACAGCGTAATTCGGACTTAGAAATCATTAAAATTTATATCCTTACTATGTTTTAATAATACTGCAGTCGCACTACACAGCGTTATGATAAGGCAAAACTGGCTGCGAGGTTTTGTTAGAGTATGTTTTTTCTTCAGATATGCCCGAAAGGTGGCACAATCCCTCCAAAAGAGCTTCGCTTCATAACTCCATCATATAGTTCATATAATTACATAACTTTGCATTCTGGGGGATGAAATTTCCACGCAACAGCAAGAACCATTCTGAAATAACCATACGTTAATGCTACATCCTGCCACATGTATATTTTCCCATTCAGTAAATGGGTTCCAGCTCCAGCAACGAACAAACCAACTTCCGGCTCCAGCATCAGAGCAGCAACAAAAAATTTAGCCATGTAATTCTGCCCAGCCCATCCAAAGCATAGTTTTGCAAACTAAACTTGTACACGTTGCACAGCATTTGTCCAATAAATCGCAGGTCACACAAATGACAGGTCATATGCAAACGCGCTGGTTTGTAGGCATATCTGATCGATCAACCACCACCACTTCCGCCTGGTTGCTTGCTTTCCGCGGCTAGACCTTATCCGCGAATGCTTAAGCTTTATGTAGAAATGGTTTCTGCTAGACGCGTATACTGATTCAGCGTTTAGCCAGGAGAAAACCACAGGACAACACTGATAACGAGACCGTCCCAGCGATCCCATCAAAATAAACGCATTGAATAACGCGCGATGAAATCGGCGCACGAAGATTGTCAAGGGTTGATATATGTCATCAGATTTTCAACGAGATGGGATGCAAAAGATGGCCTTCGCGTGATGTATGAAGGAGCTCATATTTGCTAGTCACGTTTGAATAGAACATCAGCTGCGTGGGGGCGAGACAGGAGGCTGGTCGACATTCTGTGCACACCTTTATTGAAGACACGTGGAGTATAAGTCCAGCATCAAAAGAACTGGTGTGTAGTTCAACTTTGAGCCTTATTACTGGACGCAAGCGAGCGTAACCAGTCATCATGCAGGTAACCACTGCTGTCTATGGAATCGGCAATGCTGTTATGGTTGTGCTTATTAGCTACGGGCGATGTTGTCCTTGATATTCTGTCCATGACGTGTGTATGTGCGAAACTATCTTTTTTCATTATATATGCCAATGTTTCCTTGTGGAATGAATAATTTGATTAGTTCCAAGTACCTACTACCTTTGAACTTTTTGAACGGTCAATTTTTGCTTACAAAAGGCATGTCTGCATATATATATATATATATATATATATATATATATATCATTTCAAAGTAAATATTGTTGGCTCCGTTTGAAGACCGTTCTGAAGCAACAGGGGGATTATTCTTGGACATTTTACCTTGGGTCGAGGGGACTGTATGTGTTGTTTTCAGCATCCCCTCCAAACTAGTTTAAGATCTATAAAGTATGAAAATTCAACAGTTCCACGCGGTGTTCGTTTATAAAAACAAATGAGGAAATCCACGTTTGTAGATTTGTAGATTATTGTGATCGTTATGTTACGATAATGCGAGGCATATTTACCTGGAATAGAAGTAAGGTCTCTTGATGTTAGCGATGACAACAACAAAAAATATACATTAGGGGTGAATATGTTTGTATATTTCTTACAGGTTCTTGTTTTGGCAGTCAATATTTTAAGGTTTGGTATATGTACCTGAAATGAAAATACGGATGGCAGTCCCATGTGGGCCTTTTTGGGACACTTGCCTTGCGGGGTGGGTGCGGGTTTTCTAGTTTGGGTGCGGGGCGAGTGTGGGTATTCCAAAGCTAAAAAATGGCAGCTTTATTGCCAGACAAAGTAAGAAGTGAGTTGAGCCAGTTGACGCATCGCGCAAAGCGAAGGGAGATCGCGGGCTAATAATTTCGTTAAATGGAATCGGTTCGGTGAAGAGTCGAGCGTCAAGAATCGGTGATGAGCCTTGTCACTGCACCGCATATCATGAGTCTTGTCACTGCACGATATACAAGGAGAAAAAAAAATGCAAGAGGGCGTTGTCACAGGATGCAAGATACTGACTATGGGGAGTTGCATATTATTAGTCTTATTTATTTTCAGCTTCGGCTAGCTGCGTGCAGAATGCCTTGGCTGAGATAACTCATTGATCTGATTTATTTCGAAGACGTTTTACGCTGACAAATCGTGGTTACCACACGTAACCACCTCGGCGAAGCCTGTTGCCGAATTATGTGGGATATGTTGTGTGACGCGTATGCGAGGAGCAGAAAGAATACAATTTCGAGCGCTGGGATGGCACGAAATTGGCCGAATATTTTTTGGACTGGTCATTTGACTTTACTTATTAGGATTACGCCTTTTTAGCGCCGGCGAAACCTATGGTATTGCATTTATACTGCGATTTACGGCGGCCTGCATACGTTAGCAGCGCCAGCACTGCACCTTTTACAGCGCTTTGGGGTTCTCTTGACTTGAAATGGCGCCCGTTCCGATTATGCTGATGCTGCTTCTGTGCATGTTACGTATCATGTATCGTTTAATTTTAAGCCGTTTGTTTTCGGCGTTGAGTAGCTGCTTGTCGACTGTCATGGCTGCCAGCATTTTTGAACTAAGAATGATCCTGAAATAAGAATGATGAAATTCCTGATCAGACTTGTGCCCGCACTTCAATGATTGGATGAGCAAATGAAAGAACCATTGGAACTTCAGCAGCCCGACCAGGGCACCGGGGGCCATGTGAGCCTGCTCTGCAGCTGGCACGTGCGGTGTTGAGCGGTGAGCTTGTGTGCGGAGCCGGTGGCCGGTGTGCCGGTGCTGCCCTGACCGGTGGCCGTCCGTTCCAGGTGGGCGTCAACTGGGTGTCGAGCTCGGCACCGCTGGACACCGCGCTCCGGTCAGCCGACGGCGACGCCGCGCGCCGCTCGGCCGGTACGTCACCGACCCACACCCACACGCCACTTAGACTGGGGCGATGCTGACTGTATTGGCACGTTCAGACAACAGTGGCCGAGCGCGCCGCGTCCGATGATGACAGGCCGATGAGCCTGGCGAAGCGGCGGCCGACTGAGCCGGCGCCCGCTCCCGCCAGCTCACCGGCGGCGGCGGCCGGCCGCAGGTGGGGCAGGATGGCGACTGGGTGTGAAACGCTCGACAGCGGACAGCTTAGATGGTGGGGATGACGTCGGACTGGGCGCGGTAGCCCAGCTCGTCAGCCTCCCAGGTGACGCGGATGGGGGTGCCGTCGGGGGCGACGTAGCTGTACTCTCCCGTCATCTTGTAGCTGCCCGTCTCGGGCTCGTTGCCCGGGAAGCTCTGGCCCGACACGGACGTCACGATCTGGTTAGATGTCTCCAGGTCGGCCTGGAAGCTGCCGTCCTCGTTCAGCTGGTAGTCGTTGCGCACGATCTCGGCGCTCTTCTCATCCTGGGCGAAAGCCACGGCCACAATGGCGAACAGGACAATCTGCGAACACGGACGGCCGGTCAGGCGGTGGCGCTCGGCGCGTCCACAGAGAGCTCAGAACAGGGCTATCATCGGATCCGCTATGAAATGTGCTGGGCACTTACGGGGGGACAATCACAGAAAGTCGGGCCCAGGGCCACAGGAGGAAAGCTCGAGGCATTAGTGGATGGGCATTTAGGTACGGACTCGGCGGTGGGGTGTAGAGCTACCACCCCGACCGCTCGCTCTAGGAGGCGCAGCGCTGTTAAATGGCAGCTGATGCCGGCATCACCACCTGGCATCACCACCTGAAATTACCACCTGGCATCACTACCGGTGGGCCACCAGCAGCTGGCCGAGGACGGCGGCCCGGCACCAGCGCCGTCACTTACCAGCTTCATGGTGTGTTTTGGTGTGTGTGTGTTGTCGGAGCAGACACAGTCGAGTGATGCTGACCGTGAGCCAGCCGGGCACTTTTATACCTGCCCCCTTGTGCAAGTGATGCGCCGGTGGCGGCGGCGGCGGCCTTGGGCGAGCGGCGCCCGCGGCCAGCGCCTCCGCGCACCGCTGCCGCCGCCGCCGCCCGGGCCGGCCCAGGTCGAGCCGCCCTCTCACCGGGCCGGTGGCGTCGCCGCTCCGCAAGCCGCACGCACGCCTGCTCAGACACTGTCCTGGCCGGGCCGAGCCTCGTCGACGCCGCTCCGCTGGGACGCTGGGGCACAGGCTTTCTACTGTGCTTCTCTTGTCTGCCTCGGTGTCGGCACTGTCAGGGGCGCCTGCCTCTAGTCAGTCGGCGGCGGCGGCCAGGTCCGGCCCCGTCTGATCCCGCACGGCACGCTCTCTGTGCCTCGGTGTTGGCGCTGTCTGGAGCGCCTGCCTCCAGTCAGTCGGCGGCGCCGGCCAGGTCCTGCCCCGTCTGATCCCGCACGGCACGCTCCTGTTAGCCAGGCCGGTCCTGACGCTCGCCGGTCAGGCGCCACCTGAAGCCCACCACCTGTCCGTTCGGGCAGAAGGTCGACGGACTGTTCGTCATGGAGGGCGCCCACGCACGGCCGGGCGTGTCCTGGTGCAGCCGTAGGTCATTGTGCCAGACTGGGCTAGCCAGGCTCTGTACCTCATCAGGTATGAATGCCCAGCGATGACTGAGTAAAATTCGGCTTCCGAGCTTTTCTTCGGGGAGATGAGCGTGCAAGATATTGCAGATGCTAGTGAATGTGATAGATTCGAGATTTCCTTGGTCTTGAAACCTCTTGAATACATTACCATGGAGTGGTGGTCCGCGTGGCCTTAGCATTACTGACCCAACATCATTTTGTGTCAATGGCGTACTCTTGACCAAGGAGGAGATGAAAGATCGGTTCAGTGATGACAAGCGTCCGCACGCTTGCTTTGCTGCGCTTTCTGTAAAACACAGACATTTGTTCGGTGGATGTTTTGCAGTTGGACGCTGCTGCTACTGTAGCTGCTGTCGGACCTCCAGCTGCTGATGGTGCCGAGGTGTGACTCAAAACGGTAGTGGCGAACGTTAGAACCCGCCGAAAACGGCAGTATTCATCTCGCTAGGTCGCGTGCCCAAAACACGTGGCACGTGCGACATCACCGTTTGTATCGCGCAATTGCCCGTTCGATGCCCTATCGAATCACGACACTGACGAATCGCTCCGTGTATTGGGTGTCGAGATGTGACACATAACACGAAAAGACACAGCGTGTCCGTCGACAATATCAACATCCACCTTTCCAGATGGTGTCGGCATCACACGTGGCCCACGCGGTCATACACAAGACACCATGCGGTTCGCTGTTGGATGCCCTTCGAAACATGCCATCCCGAGTCGCTCTGTGCTCTAGGTGCCGAGATGCGGCGCAAAATGGGAGGACTGTCCAAACCGGCCTAATCCATCTAGCGAGTCGGATTTGCAAACTCGTGTCGGCGTGACACGGTGAGCGTGCGACCCCGCACTCTGTACCACGCGACCGTCAGTTTTATTCTCTGTTGAACGGTGCGACCTCCGAGCCGCTCCGACCCGTCGTCGTCGAATTACGTGTCTGTGGTGGCGTGTCGTATTACGTGGAATGTGGAATTACGTGTTTGGGATGGCGTGTCTTATTACGTGGAATGTGGAATTACGTGTCTTGCCGGCCAGCCTCCAGTCGGCCGCAAATTTCCTTCACCCGTATTACGTCTATGGCCGACGACGCTTTCCGAAGTGCCGACGTTTCCTAATTTTCCAGCGATTTGCAGCGCAGGCGTGCGTCGTTCAAAGTGGCGTTTTACACCTGAAAGTGTAGACAGTACATTGGTAGATGCTTTCAACTTGGATTTATGCCGCTACCTGCACTGGGCGCCGAGGTGTGGCACAACACGTGAAAAAACAGACCGCCACAGCCGAGTCGATCTCTTGAGCTCGGGGGTACGCGTCCCGTGACACCGTGAGACTGTAGGCTTGACACCATGCGAGGCCCCGTACCATTCCCTTTCGAAGCGGGCCAATCCCGAGTCGGTGCGATCCGTGGCTGCCGGTATATCGGTCCTGGATGGCGAGCGGAGGGGCCGCGCCATGTCATCGGCCGCCACCAGAGGCCCGCCAGCGGCCCACCTCAGACGCACGCGCGCCAGGGTCCTGGATGGCGAGCGGGGAGGCCACGCCATGTCATCGGCTGCCACCGAGGCCCGCCAGCGGCCTAGCTCAGACGTGTACCTCAGCGCTCCAGCAGCCATGTAATCGGCCGCCACCGAGGCCGGCTAGCGGCCTACCTCAGACGCACGTGCGCCAGCAGCTAGTTTGCTGACAAGGAGTGTTTCACATTGAAGCAAGCATCAGTTATGGTGAAATAAGCTTACTTCCAATGGTTGGTATACTTTTAGTGGAACAACTGCTCTATCCAACAATATATTTTTATGTTTAGTAAGCATAGTGTTCAATATCTATATATATATATATATATATATATATATATATATATAATAGATATGAACATATGTATATACATATGTATGTATGTATGTATGCATATATGTATGGGACCATTGTCTGATTTTAATCTCGTATTTATATACGGATACATGTAGCTGAAGTGTTTGTTTCTCTTCTTACCACTTTATCGCCAATTCAGTTATTGGGAAATTGTATAATCTTATGCATGTTGACCGTAGTCTGGTACAGATACACGCTTAGTTAAGCAGCCAAATGTTCCTAGTTTGTGTTTCAAGGCACTGGAAGTATGTGTACGATAAATACGCCTTAACCATTGCTTGCACGGAAATGATGTCGCATTGTTGCCTGCCTGAGGTATGCGGCGGCAGGGAGCAGCACCGAATGACTCGCAGGGCCTCTGGCGCCGCCCGCCCCGGACAGTCCGTGCAGCCCCCTCCCCCCTCCCCCACCCCCACCGCCCGGTGCCCGCCCCGGACAGTCCGTGTAGCCCCCCCCCCCCCTCCCCCCCCACCGCCTCCGTGTGCGGCCGCAGCGGTGATACGGCTCGGCCTCCGTCGGCTTTAGCGATGTGTCACGGCGTGACCCCACCCCTCCCGCCTCTTGAACGGGGCACTCCCCCAGGGCGCGGCCGGGCTGCACCGTTCGGGTACGCCGGCAAGACAGAGCGGAGACGAGTCGTGGGGCTGCGCGCGATCTGTACTCTGCGACGCTGTGGTGGCCGCTCGATGTATGCTTTGTCGACCTCCGGGCGGTGCCCCAGGCCGACGGCTGAAGGGGTCCCGGCCGTGGAGCAAGTTCGCTCCTGGCCGGGCAGTGCGTCGCCGCTCAGCGGCCAGCCTGGAGGCCGTACGGCTCGTCTCCCGGAGCAGCGGCCGTCACGGCCGCGCGCCCGTTGGCGCCGGGCCTGCCAGCTCCCACGGTCGGTACCGCTCACCACCCCGGACCCGACCACGGATGCACGGAGACCCGGCTCGGCGGCGGCCTTAGTGGTCACAGGCTGCCGCCGAAACTGCCGCCCCCGGCGCAGGGCGGAGCCGGCGCCGGAAACGTCCGTGAGGCCGCGCACGGCCCACACCGGCTCGGCTCGGCTCTGGTATGCCTTCGTACCGTTTTGATGCCGTAAACCATTCAGTTGTGAGACTAAGTGATACTGTTGAGCGCAAGCCTTGTTGGTGGGTGCCCCGTCGGTCTCAGCACGCGGCAGTGGTTTGCTGCCGCTGGCGCCTGCTGCCGAGCCGTTCTACACGTCCGGACGACACCGGCCGGTGGCGGCGCCGTTATGACGTCCTCGACAGCGCCATCCCGTCTCCGGAGCTGATTCCGGTCACGTGTTGTAAGGATGCTCTGGCGGCCGTGCCCGCGGGAAGGGCACGGGTGCGGGGGTGTTCGACCTTCGCCATTGGAGGGGAGGCGCAGGACCGACCAGATACCGGGCGACCCTGAAAGGAAGACAAATCAGACGGCGCCCGCTGACTGCTCATGGGTCCGGGGTCAGGGGCCCGTGGCCGGCTCTAGACACGAACTCGGCCCGCACCGGGTACGTGGAATGCTGTCCGTTCGACGAGAAAACACTCAGCCCTGAAGGGTTTCTCCTGTTTCCAAATGGAGTACGTGATGGATGCATCAATTGGTCAAACTGGTCGCTCTGTTAGACTTCGTGAATGCATTAGTAAAGCGGAGTGTACTTAATCAGCATGAGGAGCGGCGGGCAGCAGCGGCGCTCCCAGTTCCCAGCGCGGGGAGCGACGGGCAGCAGACGCGCTCCCAGTTCCCAGCGCGGGGAGCGGCGGGCAGCAGCGACACTCCCAGTTCCCGCGCGGGGAGCGGCGGGCAGCAGCGGCGCTCCCAGTTCCCAGCGCGGGGAGCGGCGGGCAGCAGCGACACTCCCAGTTCCCGCGCGGGGAGCGGCGGGCAGCAGCGGCGCTCCCAGTTCCCAGCGCGGGGAGCGGCGGGCAGCAGCGGCACTCCCAGTTCCCAGCGCGGGGAGCGACGGGCCGCAGCGGACACTCCCAGTTCCCAGCGCGGGGAGCGGCGGGCAGCAGTGACACTCCCAGTTCCCAGCGCGGGGAGCGACGGGCAGCAGCGGCGCTCCCAGTTCCTAGCGCGGGGAGCGGCGGGCAGCAGCGGCACTCCCAGTTCCCGCGCGGGGAGCGGCGGGCCGCAGCGGCACTCCCAGTTCCCAGCGCGGGGAGCGACGGGCAGCAGTGGCGCTCCCAGTTCCCAGCGCGGGGGGGCGGCGGGCAGCAGCGGCACTCCCAGTTCCCATCGTGGGGAACGGCGCGCACAACGTGCTGGACGTGCCGATGCTTCTGAAATCACTCGTTTCATCGTCACCTGACAGGAGGCTATAGACGTTTGACGCGCGCTAACCCACGTGCGCGCGCTAACGCGTGAATGCCTCTGGTGCCCAGGGCTAATACGAGTTAGTGTCACGACCGCACGCGTCCTTATTGGGCGGCGTGACTCTTCAGCACCGGCTGCGGGCAGTGTGTGCTCAGTGGCCAGCAGCCAGCGTGTGCACTGAGGCGCGATGACGGCGGCACCGCAG